CTGCCAATATTTAAGTCCACCTGACCAAAGCATGTGGTCCGATGTTACCTTGAACTGAGGTATACCGTGACCCACATTTTAATTTTATGTCAACTATTCATACATATTTTCTTTTTATTTTGATGTTTTTTATACAAATAGTAGTAATAGTTTTAAAATCACGACAAACAAAAAATTTAAGTACGTTATTTACATTAATAAGTAAAAAAAATAGTTATAAATTAGCCACACCATAAGTTTCTACATTTCTGAATTGTTTTATATCATATATTAAAATTATTAAAATAGTAAGATTTAGAATAAAATAAAGGTTTTGATTTTACATCTATACATATACCTAATAAAATTCTAACTGAGCCGAACATGAAATATCTGTACATTAAATATTTTTTGGAAAATCTTATTGAAATAGACATTATTATCAATACAGAGCCCGAATCTATAGTTTTAAGAATTTTTGTTTGTCTGTCTGTCTGTCTGACTGTTTCCGCATTACAGAAAAACCACTGGAGGGATTTTGATGAAATGTGATATGGTGATAGCTGGTTATCCGGGTATTGGATAGGATACTTTTTACCGCGGGAAAATATCTCATTTCTGAGAAAAATATAAAAACTGCAATGTAAGAGAATACTAATATTATGTAAAACCCAAGAATTTGGTTTTTGGTCACCTGAACGCGGGCGGAGCCGCGGGCAATGCTAGTAATAATAATAAAAAACTTTATTCGCTGATCAATTGTACAGTAATTATGATTTACATAATATGTGGTACTTAAAACATAATAATATTTAAAATCTAATTTTAAAATAATTTATTCAGCAACCAGTTTATTGGTCAGGTTGGACAACCTGACCAACAAACTGGTTCGACATAGGCCTCCCCCATTTTCTTCCATTCATCTCTGTTCCGAGCTAACCTTCTCCATCCTATTGGTAAGTCATCTTCCCATCTTTTAATTTAACGTCCTTTTTGCCTTTTCCCATTTCTAGGATACCATACAATTACCTAAAAAACCATTAAATTTAAAACTCTAAAATTTATAATACTTTCTTAGTTTTACGCGAATATTTGATATTTTTAATAAAACTATCTTTTCGGATTATTTCGCGGATTTATTTTGATTTTTGGTTCCCGACTTTTCGCATGCTTTACAGCCCCATGCCATTCCTGTCTCCCTCGTGACCATGATTACTATAAACCATTCGAAACGTCGGGAACCAAAAATCAAAATAAATCTGTGAAATAATCCGAAAAGATTGTTTTATCTAAAATTTATGTGAAAAACATTGTTTAAGAATATAAATAGGCAATGACAACACAGTTCAATGAGTTTTTCTCCTCTTTTCAACCGACTTCAAAAAGGAGGAGGTTCTCAATTCGTTTTTTTTTGTATTTTTTTTAATGTTTGTTACCTCAGAACTACGTCATTTATTAACCGATTTGGACAATTTTTGTGTTGTTTGAAAGTGTATACTTCCAGATTGGTCCCATTTAAATTTCAAAAAAAAAATACCACCCCTAAGGGTGGAAAAATAGCTAATGATGAATTTAACCTACTTCTAATTGGCATATTGACTTGAAACTTTGCAAGTGTTTCTATTTCCGTTGATAGTACGGTGGTTCGGTATTGTTGACCTGAGATGATGGTAAGGCCAAAAGGTGGATAGGTGGAACTCTTCAACGGCTAATAGTAGATACTTTGAGTTTGGGCTTGTTTTGTTTGATTTGACAAGCCTAATACGTTAGAATTCTTACTTTGCTACTACTGTCTACACTAAAAAGGGAAAAATAAAAACTTTTTAACAAAAAAATAAAAACCGACTTCAAACAAAAGCACTAAAAAGTAAAAAATAACTGATTGGTAGTTTTCATTTACTATACATACCTAATCAAATATTTTCGAAGTCGGTGTGCTTTGGCTAAGTAATTAAAGCCTACCTATTAAATACATAACTAATCAAATATTTTCGAAGTCGGTGCCAAAGCAAAGCACACCGACTTCGAAAATATTTGATTAGGTATGTATAGTAAATGAAAACTACCAATCAGTTAGTTTTTACTTTTTAGTGCTTTTGTTTGAAGTCGGTTTTTATTTTTTTGTTAGAAAGTTTTTTTGTCAACCAGTTTTTTTGTTTAGTAGCTAGCATGTAATGAAAATAATGAAATAATAATAATGAAAATCAAAAAGGCCAATATTCAGCAGGTCCGCATTTTGAACGGATAGGAGAATTGAAATAGCTAAAAATCTGTTATAACTTAACCTTTTTCAGATTCTAACTTTTGAGCTATGGGCAATACTGTCAATGACCTTACAATCGACTGAATTCTGGAAAACCCCAAATAACCCCTAACAGGGAAGCACATACCTACCATGTGCTCTGCTAAATTATTAATAGGTACTGTGAAAGACTAATCAATATTCTCGCTAGCAATTTAACGTCTTGCAAGTAACTTAGAATGGGTAATTTAACTGCTAATTTAATAAGTCAATCGGAAAGCCAATACCGGCCCAAAATGCAAATATTGAAATAGATTATGATGAAAATGGGTTGCAAAAATCAGAAACATTGCTAAATTTGTCGAGGTAGTTCTCGTTGTGCTATGTTTGATGTTTCGAAACGTTTAGGAATCATAAAGTTGGTCGCTGTGGAACTAAGTACCCCGGGCTTAGTAGTCAGTAATCTACCTAATACAGCATTATTGTACCAAACATTCACTTTAATATTTTGTGCTTTTAAGACTAAGAATAAGATACAGGAAGCTGGAAGCGTACAGAAGTCAGTGTTTAAAGTTTGAAATTTACTAACTTTACCATAAGAACGGTAATGTAATGCATATATAATGCATAATATTACCGTGCCATAATGTTCCTGCCGCTAAAACCGCTGTTTTACAACCCCGGGCCTCGGAAACAAAATAAAGAAACTAGAGGTTACGCTTTTGATTCTACTGCATAACACTATAATCTGTATTAAGATTGGCTATCGTAGCCGAAATCTGTCAGAAGGAAGTGTCTGTTTGTAATGTTAAAAAAAAAAAACAACTTTTTACAAAATGCATATGAAAATTTTTACGGTGCATATACGAAAAACACAATTTTGAAATTTTTTGACAATTTTTCTTAATTTTAGAAAAAGAATTATTTAGGGTTCTGATCAAAAAAATTAAAACGTATCTAGGGACGCACCCGAGAGCGGCTATCACGCCTATCCGTTAAGAATTTATATATGTAGCAATATACTCTATGGTTAAGAAAGAACCAACCAATAGATGTATTTTACTATATAATATTATTTTGACTTTGGTAGCATGGGGTTTAATCAGGAGCGCAATAAAATTAGTTCAAATAAATGTCCCTAGGTGGCAATGTGTCTCGATTAAAAGTTAAGTAAAAATAAGAAATATATTTTACATAATATATTTAATTACGACATATTTTTACCTTCAGGAAAATAGTGTATATATAATAAACAAAAAAAAACATAATCAGAAACATTTTCCATACAAAAAAATGCTATCCTGAAATGACCAAAAACCAAATTCTTAGGTTTTACATATTAGTAGGTATACTGTTACATTGCAGTTTTTGTGTTTTTTCTTAGAAATGAGATATTTTAACGCGGTAAAAAGTATCCGATATATTGACCCGGATAACCAACCAGCTATCACCAGACCAAATTTCATCTAAATCCCTCTGGTGGTTTTTCTGTGATGCGGTAACAGACAGACAGACAAAAATTCTAAAAACTATAGATCCTGCCTCTGTATCGATAATAATTTTTATTTCAATAAGATTTTCCAAAAAATATTCCATGTACTGGTTCAGCTTAGTTACAGTTTTATTATATGTATAGATTTTTTTTTAATCAATCAGTCACATTATATATACATTATACATATAATGAAATTCTGAGTCGAATCTGTACATTAAATATTTTTTGAAAAATCTTATTGATAATATTAGTCATTATTATCGATAGTGAGGCCGAATCTAGTTTTTAGAATTTTTGTCTGTCTCATGATGTGTTCCCAGACAGACAGACAGACGTCTAGTTGAGAACGCATCACGAGGAAACCACTGGAAACATTTTATATTTTTTATGGAAGATGATAGCTGGTCTGGGGGATCGGGGTCAACGTTTACGATGCTTTTTCTGTGGGAAAATATGTCATTTCTGAGAAATCTATACTAAATGTTATAACGTAATCATTAAAATGTTAAAGGTAAATTTATTAAGCATAGTCACAAATTCAACTCTTATGGAACTGAACCTGTGACCTCCCTTATAGAATTCCAATTAGGAGTAATTACTAATGTAATTCTCATGTAAACTACCGTCTGTTGTAGGTATATACTGCAAATAAAGTCAGTTTTGTTTTGGTTTTCTTTTATTTCAATAATAGAATGAAAATTACAATGATTACACTGCTAATAAGGGCTTAGGTCTGAGCCAAATGAATTTATTATTGACTGATCAAGAATTTAGGTCTTAGCATGATTATTTAAGAAAATCATTAATTTATGCAAATACAATATCTTTTTCAAAGAGAAAATTAATGAATTTCAACCTAAGTTACAAAACTTCTTACAAAATATATACACTATACTGTTATATTTTTATGAAATGTATATAAAAGTCAATATGGAACTATTTTAGAACATTTAAATTCTAAAATTACCAAATGTCAATTAATTTAATTTCTAATAATGATTTCATAATTCATATATTCAATAATCAGTAAATAAAACTATAATAACAAACAAATAATGAAACAAATGATATATTAATATAATATAATCTTTTTAAATCTATGATTAGAAACTTAAATCTAAATTAGATAATTCTGTCTACAAAATTTTAAACATTATCTTTAAATAATTCATATAAATAAATGAAACTGTAAAGACTTGAGAATAGAATGTTACAGGTCTAAAGAATATATATGTAATACTACAAACATTTATAATATTAGTATGGACAGTATTATTAGCTTTATCCTAAAGGTGCGTTTTCAATTTCTATGTCTGCATTATCATTTTGCGATACACCCACATTTTCTGTCTTCACTTCAATAGGCACCGTCTTTGGTTCTTTAAATAATATCACTGAATGTTTAAGTCTCATGTGTTTTCTAATTGAATCTTGTTTATAGAACTTTGTATCACATTGTGGACAAGAATATTTCTTTTCATCATAATGCATTTTCTGATGTGTTGTTAACTTTTCAATACTTAAGTAAAATCTGCCACAAATTGTACAAGGAAAGTTTTTGTCTGTATGTTTGCTTTTATGTTGTTTGACATTATATGATTTAGCACATTTATAACCGCACAGATCACATTTAAACATGTTTTCAGATTTATTATGTACCCATCGCTTATGATTGCACAGTTCTGCACTAGTATAGAATGTGGAAGCACATTTCTCACATGTAAAAGATCTTACTCCACTATGCCTTTTCATGTGAATATAATAACTCTTCTTTTTCATTACTTTTTTGCATACAGTACAGGTTATGTCCTCGTCTGTGTGACCCTTCAAATGTCTATAAACATTTCTCCGACCTTTAATATATTTACCACAAAAATGACAAGTTATTTCTACAAAATAATTTTTATGTGCACCTTCTATATGACTTTGAAGGGAACTGTGTTGAGTATATGTATTAGGGCATAAATGACACTGAAATGGCCTTTCCCCACTATGTATGACTAGATGAGCTGACATATCTTTTATTTTTGAAGTTTTATAATTGCACTCTTGGCATTTAAATATTCTACTTTTTCCTACACCCTCTATTGTTATATTTTTATTAGTTGCAGTTAGACAACTCTTTGTCTTTTTTTTTCTATGCAAATGATATGCTTTGTAACTTTTAAATGTTCTTTTACAATCTGAACAAATCAAACTTTCCTGCATGTGAGTTTTTTTCCAATGAACACTAAGCTTGCATTTAGATTTGAATGTGTTACCACAGTCGTGGCATTCCAAGTTTAGATTAACTCTACTTTTACGACCATCGAGGGGTTCAGATCTGATCAAAATTTTTGTGTTATCCTCATTATCATATTCATAACTATAATCAAAACTATCATCATGGCAATTTTCTTCCAATTTTACTGCATTTGCTTTAAATTCTTCTTTTTTAACTATTATGTGATAATTATAATTGAATTCGACTTCTTCTTTAACAGATTGTTTAGTCAATGTATCATTAGACTGTTCACACTTATCCTTAAAGTCAACAGCTGAACAAAGTTGATCAAAACATAACTCACATATTTTATCTGGAAATCCATCATTGGATTTTATTTTTATATTAGTTATAGAATTTATGTGTTCGAACAGTAAAAATTGTTTGTATGTATCATTTAAGGATATGTATTTATTTTTGTCAGAGTTCAAGCATACACGGCAAACTTGATATATTTTATTCATTCTAATATAAAGTAACTAATACACTTTTTGTTATAAATAATAAACATGGTAAGTATTGTTGTATTTAATTGTAAATTTTATTTTTAATAATTTTCAGTACCTACAGCTAACAGTTTATAGATGACAGATCTTTTAATGTCAAAACTCAAAACTTCAAAAGTCAAAACTTCAAGTTCAAAAGACAACAGACTGACAAGATTAACACAGATGGATAATAATAGATAATTGATGTAATCCGCAAAATTACTTGCCAGAAACAAAAACCCTTATTTACGTGGGCTGTTTACTTATGAATCCCACGACTCCACGAGTGTTGAGCACATCCCCTGTGGCAGGTTTATAAATTATCACTAGACTTTAGCAGCAGTAAAATGCTATCTGCATTTCCGAAAACAGCCTACTAAAGAAATTTAATCAAGCCCAACACTTTCATAATCATTCTATAAGCTCATAATCATTACAATAATATAATAGTAAATAATTATATTGAATTAATTCAGTTTCTTTTTCATGAAATTATAAAAATATAGTTTAGATGTAATATATGAAAAAAATTAAAGTAATAAATTTTATATAATAATTTAGGTATTTCAGTCCTTTTATGACAATTTAGTTAAATGCTTAAAGTGTAGTAAACATAAAGAATAATACTCTAATAAGTACATTATAGAAGAAGGAATCAACAGCAATTTTTAAAATGAAACGAGTATTAGAATGTCAAATTGTTTTACACATTTAAGGATTCACTTATTCAAGCTCAAACCTAGAAGCAACGAAATAAAAGATTTAAAGTGTTCAAGCTCAATCGTTAGTAGGTTCCAACAGTTATTGATAATCAATAGTTTATTGTACTTCCGAATGCCATAGTAATTAGTAACTACATAGTATTATACATACTAAATTCTATTTTTAAAATTCAAAGAACTAAAGTTTATAAAATATTACATCCCTTTTTAATTTTATGAGCCCAGAGTGCGTGCTGGTAACGCGCGGTCTTTAAATGTAGGCATGTGCATATACCCTAAGTACCATATAATTAAATTATTGTTAGTTGAGAGTATAAATTATTCACATTTTTCTAACTTGAATTAAAACACAGATATTTTGAAATAAATATTTATTTATTTTTAGTCATATTTTCTTATTATATATATCACTTTCATTTTATAGTCCTTAGGTATAGAAGGATTTGTGGATTTTTAACAGACTTAGACTAATAAATTACCCAGTAGTCTATAGCTAGAATACTTATACCTAGGAAATATAAAAACAGATTCTAATAAGACTAGTTTTAAATCAATGTGGACAGTAACAGTACTTAATAGTAATTATGAAGAGACTTTTAAATAAATAAAGGCATTATCATGAAATCTCAATTTACTCTTTTTTATATTTTTTACATAAAGAACTTTTTTAACGTTTATCATTTAATGTACATAAGTTGTATTATTAATATACTAGTAAATTGGAATTCTAGTAGGTATTATTACGTTTAAAAAAATATTATATTTTTTTATCACATAAATGGTAAATTAAGGTTTTATGCGACTTTTTCCAATAATTACATAATCTATACTATTACGAATATGAGAAGTATTATACATCGGCATGATACTTATTTAAATAATCTTGATTTTTATTTCATAAACATTATATCTTACTCGTTCACACACTGGCTTTTAATAAACCTAATAATATGCTCAAAAATATTAAGTTCTTGTTTCATTTGTTATCTGTATTCTGTATACAAAATCTATCATAATTAGTGATGGGCGATTACGAACAACTGCATTGTCTTTAATAATTATTTAAATAATAGTTTTGTAACACAAAATAAAAGTATCAAGTAAATAACAATTGTTTCTTTTATTTTCTGTAGCATACAAAAGTACTTTAACACCTACAAATTAATATTAAGTTGGAGATCATGAATTAGTTTTTCGCATGCTCATATTTCTCATATTTCGGTTTCAAGAATCCAGACGGATAATGTACGTGTTATATTTATCATTGTGTTTTTGTAATGTGTATTACTGTGAAAACACAATAGAATATAAAAATAAAAGTATTATACTTTAATCGTCAATTGTAATCGCCCATCCCTAAGTATTAATGTTACCATACACAAAACATAAACGTAATATTTAAAAATAAGTAACGTTCATAAGGTTAATTTGAACATTTCAAGGCACGCATTTAAGTGAGATGCATAGAGTTAAAGACTTGGTCCCAAAACAAAACTTATTGTACTTATAATTATGGCCCTGTCTGTACTATATACAACAATTAATATTTTATGTTAAGTATAAAATACTGCTAAATAGAGGAAAATTACTATTCCTTATGTACAAATGTATATGTATATACAGTTCGTCTTTGAATATTTTGTAGATTCTAAATTTAAAATGAAAATTTGAAATGTACTTACTTCACAAATCTTAAGAAATAACATAAAAAATATGAATTATTATGTTTTGGCGATTATAATTTTATTATATAGTCCCCGACACCAAAAATTTTAGTTACACTAAATGAATCAATTTTATTTTTATGTACATTTTTATGATAATATAATTCTATGAAGTATAAAAAGCTTAGTGGGGCCGTAATAGATTTATATCTCGATAGGATTTTTGATTCACATTTTTAACTTCTCAGGCAGTATTTATTTTATATGTAGTAAATGATCAAATAGTACAGTAGTAGTAGTTTCTTTAATGACCATGGTATGAAGATGCATTTGGTTGAACAAAAAAACTCGCACATTTACAGTATATAGGTACTGAAAAAGAGGAAAATAAGGAGGATAAGATTTTAATAGACGGAGAAAACAAGTAAGTTTGTATGCAAATGATTAATGTTCCAAAATATCCATGGGTACGATAGCGCAAAGTCCAAATCGTTTTTAATTATGAAACCGTATCACTTATACTACATTTATAGATTAACATTAATATGATTTGGCTACACGATACACGTATATTTGTGCTCAGTCAGGCTCTTGGTGAGAGCAATGTGGAATAGGAGACGGGGAGGACTTGTATGCTCTTGGGAACAAGGAGGAATACGTGGGAGGAGGCTCGTACTCCGGGGGGGATGGAGGCTGTGTGTCGAATAGCTGCTGAGAAGCTGCCGTGACTGTGACGGTCGGGGATATGTCTATACAAGATGCTGGAATGATTGGCGTGTCTGATGGCTTCGAGCGCTTACAGCAACATTCTGTAAAAAACATTTGAAAATTTAAAATATAAATTGGTAAAATTTATTTAATTAATTCAGTTCATTTTTCCATTATAATTACATTGTTTTTTTGTAAATGCAAAAGTAACAACTTTTGAATAGTATAAACAGGCAGGTCTTTTCACCTAGCTAGCGCGAGTCCCTGCTACTTATAAAACCGCGGGATTCCATCGAGCGATTGAGAGTAATTTATTCATTATACATATGTTTATTTCAATAAAACTTGAATAAAGTGAATGCTCCATATATAGGGTAAAACCCGAATAGTTGCCTGAGTGGGATAAATGCCCACTCTGAGACTGATCAAAATCTCTCCCGTGACCATGGATGCTGTAAAGCATTCGAAACGTCGGGAACCAAAAATCAAAATAAATTCGCGAAAAAATCCGAAAATATAGTTTTATTCAAAATAAATAAACGTATTTTACTTTCTGGAAAGATATTCCGACTTCAAAATCACTTTAAATGTTCATTTATATGCCTAACCCCACCGCTAGGGATGGTTTTTTTTAATGGATTCAAAACAGGTTTTATTATTATAATTAGAAAGATAGAAAATAACACAAATACACTGGAATTACATAAGTTTCATTCATAAATGTGTGATTCATAATGGTATTCAGTAAGTAACTATTATTAATGATCAACTCACCCCAAGCCAAGCAGAACATGAGTATGGTGGCGCACACCAACATGCCCACCACGAGGTAGCTCCACGGCCCGTATGGCTTCAACGCCGCCGCGAACTCCATAAACGCATTCTGTTTCTGTTCACCTTCTGTTATTTTCACTGGGGAAAAAAGAAAAATATGACTATAACACAATTGAAGTACAGATAGAAGAATTTTTCTATATGTAACATGCAGGCAAAATGTAAATTTTCAAAATTACAATCTAATACGGCAACTGTATAAATTATCAAAATCAAGCTGAATTTAAATTTGAAAACGCAAGCTATAATGAATCGTTATATTAACTAACTAGCGGCTCACCCTCGCTTCGCTCTGGTTCCCCGCTAGAAACACAAAAACAAATCTATCTCACGGTAACCGTACATTTGTCCGGGATAAAAGTAGCCTGTGTTTTATTCTAATATAATATGACCTATATTATTGTAAGGTTTCATTAAAATCTATTCAGCAGGTTTTGCGTAAAAGAGTAAGAAACAACCTCTAAAATCTATACATCCAGACATACAAACATCCACACAAACTTTCACATTTATAATAATAGTATGGATTGCAAAGATTTTAATGTAATAACTTCAAGAACTCTTTTATTTCTGAACAAAATATACTTATGTACATATAAACTATACTTACTTATAACAGACGGTTTTGTCACACCATCAGGTTGATCCAAACCCAACAGCTCCTGGTTCCTGGCTGCAAATCTCCGCAGCATCTCCAGGAGAGGAGAGTCTCGTCTATGGGAACATGTGTTACTATCCTCGTCTTCACCACCAGGGCAATGCCGGACTCCATCGCACAGCAAGTACGAGGATATACACAGGCTCGTCAGACCGCATGAAAATTGAGAATCGCTGTTGCATACTGCCCCTGAAAATCAATGTTTTATATAGATAGACGATACAAAGGTCTATTATGGTAACTGGAGTAAAAATTATAGATTTCCTTTTAAAATGTCAAAAAATCACTAATTTGAAACTAATTAAATAAGATAATACTTTTTTAGATTTACGCGAATATTTGACATTTTAAATAAAACTATCTTTTCAGATTTTTTCGCGAATTTATTTTGATTTTTGGTTCCTACGTTTCGAATGCTTTACAGCATCCATTCCCGTGATCATGATTGTTACATATTATATGAAAAGACGGAATAGCTGTCTTTCAATATACTTTGAGAAGCTTTCTTTTCTTTTTTCATTCTTTATAATTTTTTCAGTGTTCCGATTGACTGATAGCATTATAATCAGTTATAAAAAAATACAGCCCAATTGAAGAGAGAGAACCTCCTCTTTTTCAAGTCGGTTGAAAAATATAATATAGTTAAAAAATCACAGAAAATGTAAGTCGTGTTGTAATAATTTGCGAAAATAGGGTGAGAAGTAAATTACTTAAGAATGTATGAAAGATTTGTAATGTGAATTAAGAATTTTGTTATGAAGTAAATCTGCCATTTAGCGCCTTCTGAGATATTGCACTGTCTATTGTACCTAATTGCATCTGCGCCTGACTTCTATTAATTAAATTTTATAAAGTCAGCTGTGATTTTGCAAACAGTATAATTCTTACTAGTATTTTCCCGCGGCTCTACTCCCGTAGTTTTTAATAATTAATTTTTGTACACCCTTCCACCCTTTTTCCCTTAAGATATGAATTTATGTATCTATCTGCCAAACGTTAAGTTAGAAGCACTAATACTTTCTGACATTTCATGAATAACCAGTAAGTAACCGATATTTCGCTAATATACATTTTTAGCCCCCGACGCAAAAAGAGTTGTGTTATAAGTTTGACGCCGATGTCTGTCTGTCTGTCTGTGGCATCGTAGATCTCAAGCGGATGGACCGATTTCGATGCGTTTTTTTTCATTTGAAAGCCAAAGTCAAAGAAAGTTTCCTTGTGGTGGTTTTTAGCTATGTTTGGTTAATATCGGTCCAGCAGTGTAAGAGTATCAGCTCTTTTCCAAAATGATGTAAGGCATTTTGGCGTATGATTACTCGGTTAAGTGCTTCACGCGTTCCTGTGTAATCGTTAAATGACAATTAACTTGCGTAGGGGATTTTTAAATTTTTAATTTATAATTATAGAGATTAGACGATGTCACTAAGATATGTACAGTATTATTTTTAAATAATGACTAGGTATAGGTATTCATTAATGTAGTGTAGGGATGTGTAAAGATAACGACCTGAAGTTGTATCTATGGGTATTCTCGGCTTATGTAATTGTAATGAAACTCTTCTTAGTTCTTAATCTTTTCCTCTTTAACCTTTTAACCGACTTGAAATAGAAGGGAGTGCTCAATTTGGATTGTGTATGTCTGTTTTCTGTTAAGCAATATCTTCACCAATTGAGATTTTTTATTTTTTACCCGACTGCGTCAGAAGGAGGGTAATGTTTTTCGAGTGTATGTTCACGCTTGTAGATTCATCTTAATTGTGAGAGTGACACTGGGTATATCAAAATTGTAAAAATTTTAATGAATAATGATGAAATTTTCTCTCAAAACAGGAGATATACACAAGGAGATATACATACATACACACACGCTATTATAAAACATGTACATATTTCTCAAACTGCACAATACTATATTCCTTTGTCAACTTGTCTTCATCTTTTTAGTTCGTTTTTTACGCAGTCGGATACTTCATTTTTGTAAATAATTTTTTTATTAATTAACAGGTTATGACTCAAGCCTCAAGGATGTTATTCGATATACGCATATTTTCAAAACAAGTTCCATAATTACATATAAAAACAAAGAAGTCAGTGTGTTTTTTTGTCAATGTACTTAATAAAGTTTTTTATAATTGCGATTATATTTAACAACAAAAAATCTCATTGAAATTCGTCTAGCCGTTTTCACGTCATACACGCGCAAATAAAAACTAGCAGCTTCCTATGATGGTGCAATAAATGATAATAGTACACAACCGACACGTCGCAGCTTTACGTTTCTAATAAAAGGTAATATTGCTATTGCATAGATATTTAGATATTTAATGTACATTTTACGCTATTTTTCAGCTAATTATGAGACAACTTTTGGTGTATTCATTAAAATAGTAAATTACAGCTAAGAGGTGGTTTCAACAAAATTTCAAGAAAAATATTCCACTAGTCGGTGAATTTTTTAAGTTAAAAAGTAATTATTTTAAAATTTCATTTTAGTAATCAATACACTAGCGGCTTTCCAGTTTCGACGATAAAATATATACCAATAGCTTATGTCACTCTCACAACGAATCCCTTATTAATTTAATCTTATAAGCTCTATTTTGGACAGACATCGATTTCATACTAGTACCTACGTATATATATATATATATAATATATATATATATATATATATATACGTAGGTACTAGTACCTACGTATATATATATATATATATATATATGTATTTGAAGATACCCCTTACCACTATTAACAGCTGTGACCACCAATCGTAGCTTCTCAGTGTGATGGTAAGGCGTGGCGGGCGGGTTCCATACTATGCGAATCTTTGGTGGTAGCAGCCTGGTCCCAGCCCGAGCTGCAACGGCCGCTGCGTTGCCTCCGCAAAGAGAAAGCCTCCATATTGGAGTCTTGGACTCTCCGATATACTGTGAATGGATTATTTTATTGTTTATCTACTAATTATTACTTATATTGTAAATGCGAAATTTGGTATGTGTGTACATTTGTTACTCTTTCACACTTAAATGGCTGGTCGAATTTGGATGGAATTTGGTTCATAGATAGACTATGACCTTTTTTTTTTTTTTTTTTTTATGTCGGGAAATGCATTTACGCATACCACCTGATCCCCCAGGTGGTGATGTGGGGCTCACCGGCTAGAAGAGCCGGTACTACCCACTAAAACCCGACATTCCCCTCCCCTCCGCCTTAATGGGACGCCGAAGGATCGCTTGCGCATAACTACTACGGCGCCCCGGCGGCAGGTCTGCCTAAAAAGGCAGACCACCAAACCAATGGGGCTGCTCCACAGTCAACTCTGCTACGCCAGAGAGGTACCCGGAGCAGCCCCATTAAACCTAACCACCGCCCACCGAAGTGGGCCACCTCCAATCGGCTGCAGAGGACAGGGAGAGCGGCAACGAAACACCGACACTCCTTTTCCCCTGCAGCCCCACCGCGTCCGCCATCGAACGGTGGCGGCCCCGTCTAGGCCGCGGAAGGTAGGGAGAACGGCGCACCGAAATACCGGCACTCCTCTCCCGCCGCGGCCTACTCCTCCGCCGGATGCGGGCCTGCGACCACAGTCCCGCAACCGGCACCCATCATCCGGTTGTGGGACCAAGCGGTCCCACCACCGGTGGCCGCAACGTCTTCGGCTCGAGGCCTAGACGAGCGACCCCATCCAAGCCATTTGGTCCGCGCCGGATTTCTCCGGTACCACCCGCCGCCCTAAGCGGGTGGCATTCCCCTATCCGCCACCTGGGGACGCGCCCGGTAGGAGTTGGCTTCTCCCCCGGGAGATAGACTATGACCTGGTGTAACACATAGGATACTCTTAAGCACTTGTTTAAAAGAATAACAAACTGGAATAAGATATTTCTCGAAAGCCTTTTTGCGAAAATATATAGTACTCTATAATGTACATAGGTATAAAGTTTTAATCTTGTTCAATGTACATATATAATTTCGGTTACAAAAACGTGTTTACGAGCACAAGATGTCAGATTATAAAAAATGAAGTTCTTATTATTCATATAAAATCAATTTATTTTTACATTATAATTATCTCTCTGACGAAAGTTCCCGAAATCTGACCTTCAAAAGGATTAGGAAACAGGTTTTGAAGTAGTGTACACACTACTTATACCACGATCTGCATATTGGTCACGCTTTAGAAAGATCTAGACGCTTGTGCCACGTTTAACACCAATTAACCCCAGCATTTATGAAACTTAATTAAACACGAAACGGCCGACTGCATCAGTGTATCAATCTATGGCCATCTTCATTTGATAGGTAAATTTCCACTCGACCAACAGTTTCGTTAGTTGAGTGTAACAATTGAATGGGAGATGTTTCGCTTTATATCGAACGCAATTTAAAAGATAGGTCGCCACTTATTGTAACTACCAATTCGCACGTACGATATCAGGACAATGAAATTGTCAGTCAATTCATAATCGATTACACGTTTTTACTTCTCCTAGATACCGCTGTGTATTTGATAAACAATTTTTAGTTTTATACCTATCATTCAAGATTGAGCGAATCTTCGTATATGTACGTATATTCAGTTGCTCATCATCACGAACAAAATTTAAAGGATATTTATTAATGAAAACGGCAACATACAAATTCATCCAATTAATAAAAGAACAGTGCTTCAATAGTACCAACTTTTATTTCTCTTAATAGCATATTCCATAAAAGATCATATATGTATATCTAAAGTGTTTTTGACACTTACCACGAGAAGTTTACACGAATCAGTGGAGTTGGCACTGTTGACAGGCGATGTTTCGTCAGTGGCAGTGTCTTGCGCGTGCGCACTCCTCATGCTCCACTTGCGCGAAAGCCCGCTGATATCGGACAATCCTCTCTCCCATTCTGCTAGCGAGTCCTGGAAAGAAAATAATTATATATTGATTTATAATTATTAACTTCAGAGTCTACTTATAGTAAAGATTTTCTATCTGAATACCTTGTTTCAATCCTTGTTTAATTATCTTAATGTATGCTTTTGATAAGTTTATTTTATTACGTTATTAGTAATAATTTTTACCTTCTAACTTTTTGTAGAAAAAGACTATTTGAATGTTATTTTAATGAAATCCGAACAAACGTCTAGTAACGGATGCAAAAACGTGTTTTTACTACTATTCGCATCCGTAATTGGACCCAGTTATGCAAAAAACAGCCATCTGCGTAAAAGTACCAACAGAGTTATAAGCATTTTATTATAAAAAATAAAATAATTATAAAAAATAAACAATACTTATATATATATTGTTAAATTTTAAAATAACCAGAAAAACAAAACATAACCCAAGTGCAACTATCGACAGAAAAATGCTTATAACTCTGTTGGTACTTTTACGCACATGGCTGTTTTTTGCATAACTGGGTCCAATTTTTGGGCAAAATATTTTTCAATTTAAATAGGTACATTGTTCTTGTTATATCCAAGAATATTTAAGTGAAGAGAAAAACACTTAACCTTCACTTCATTGACGAATGTTATGAGTTTTGTTAATTACTTTACCATTATTAAATACATCGTTTGAAGGAAACGTGAGTGATATATTTAAATTGTATAAGTTTATTGTTATTATGTTATGCTTTGTACAATGTAAGTATATGTCTTCGTAAATAATAATTAGTCAGTCTACGGCATTAAAAACTTTGTTTAGATGATATGTTTTTTTCTGTTACTATGGTTTTTATGGTTAGTATGGTTTCAAAACCATATTTCGTACATAAAATGTAAAACTTATGGTAAAATCATTTTTTTTAAGTTCAACGCTAATTAGAAAAATCTTGTGTAGAGCTTAGTTAACATTATATTTAAAAAAAACTGTGAACTGAGGCATTATTTTATTTGTTAGAATTTTGCCCCTGGCCCTAAAGACCGGGACTCGAACCGGCGACCGCTGGCACAACAAGTAGGGTCACAAGCTGAACCAAACATCTTTCATATTTTCTGTAATAACTCATATTATCACAACACTTAGAGCTAAATCATTATTTAACAGTCCTCGGCTTCTGAAGAAGTAAGCAGTATAGTGCTATGGCATATGCAAAGCCAGATAACAATATTAAATAATATTATTAACTAGAAAAAAAAATATTTAGAATTCTGCACAGCAACTGCTGTTATGGAAGAAACAAAACAAATGCTGAATATTTATATAGTTTCCTCATTAGAATTGAATTCTTCCTTTAAAATTCAGCATCGCTGACGCATGAGCCCTATAAAATTCTTCGCAGTTCACTTATACAACGTTATCCGAATATCGAAACCAAACCAAACTAAATATGTCTGAAATGCGTTCCGAGAATACTAAAATTTATTACGTGTTTGATAATGCGTGTATACACGGTTTTATGTATATTAATAACTTACATACAATTTAAATCATTACTTATATATAAATACATATATATTTAATATTTATATATAGTATGTATATCTAGTTAGTAAGGGACAAACCCCTTGGATTAAGCCCTTATTATTTTTTAAATAATATTTTTTCTTTATTTAGTTTTTATAGGTAATTCATGTTAATTATGAAAATCTCATAATTGATATATCATAAGTCAAAATAAGCAAATATTCCTCCGTATAATAGAAGAGATAATGTAAGAAAATTCTCTCATTGTTATTATATGTTGCAAGTATATTAAAATTACATTCTCGATGCAGTACAAATAAGACCTTCGCACAGTACTCGTTGTGAATAAGTGAATACGTTTTACACAATTTTTGCTGTTTTACGACACAATAAAAGATAATTCGGTAACAATGAATAAAATTTTATATAAATAGGCAAGGACAAAAAAAAACAGTAACTTTTTTTTTCTCTATTTGTCAACCAATTTTCATTTTTGAAGTGGAACTTCTTTAAAATCTTTGTGATTTGAAACTTGATGAAATGAAAATGCGACACTAGAAAGAGACAAATACATAAATATATAGGACTAAGCCGGCGAGATAATGAGATAGAATTTATTGCCATGTTACCATGGTAATCGATGTTATTGTCTGATATATATATATATATATATATATATATATATATATATATATATAACATTATGTTCTTTCCGTATATAATATTCTATAAATATATGATTGTAACATGCCCAATTTGCCTTATCTAATTACTAGCGACTCACCCTCGCTCTGCTCGGGTTCGTCCCTAACTTGATTCCCCATACAAACTTTCATCCCCATTTTCACGTCTTTAAGGGAAGATTTCCGGGATAAATAGTATCCTTTGTCCTTCCCCGGGTCTCAAACCATCTTCTTAACAAATTTCATCTAAGATACGTCGGGATGAACCTGAGCGAAGCGAGGATGAGTCGCTAGTAAATTAGATAGTCATATCTTAAAATATTGTAGGCGGGGCCCGTCTTTGAAAATATCTGATTAGGTATCTGTTTTACATGAAAACCTCCGTTTAGTTATTTTTTACATTTTAGTGCCTGGAAGTCGGTTTTTTTTGAAAGATTTTATTTTTCCATTTTTAGTGTAGACGTAATAAGCAGGTAATTTGTAAGAAGAAAGTTTTTTAATAACATTTTCGATGAAGTATGAGTATAATTCCTGGAAAGTATACCCTTTGAAACAAAAATATATATATTTCCAAATCGGTTCAGGCGTCATCGAGTAATCGGTGAACATACATAAAAAAAAGATTTCCACGAATTGAGAACCTCCTCCTTTTTGGAAGTCGGTTAAAAAACAATCGACAAAGACATACACACAGTCTGATTGAGAATCCTTTTTTGAGTAGTTTAAAAAACAAGTTAAAGCTGTCTATATATAATACAGGTTAAGCATATGTTTCAAATTCTCTAACTAAAACTATACATAATAATAATATAGGCATTGGTAAATGGATACAGTATATACAATGATACTATCATAATAATATATCAATAACTAGTTCACCTTGATTCACTTTTTTCTTTCCACTAATTATATTCCGGTTATTTACACAAAAAATGTATATAGAGACTCTATTTAATTATTATAATTTAATTATTTTAATACGAAACCTGATATACGTTAGTACATTCAAGTCAAATTAATTAATTTAAAAAGCAAGTTAGATTGGCTATTCAAAGAAAAGAAACAAAAGCAAAAGGTCTGTAGCATAGATTACTAAAAACTTTCAAAGGTGGTACCTATTACGAAGTGAATGTCAGAGAGCACGGAGGATTTATTATTTTATTTTTGCCTCTTATATTCCATTTAAGGAAATTATCTATACATATAATAAAATCAATCAAAAAATAAATCCTAACTGAGTCGAATCTGTAGGTTAAATATTGTTTAGAAAATCTTACTGAAATATTTTTTTTTAATATCGATACAGAGGTCGAATCTACAGTTTTTAGAATTTTTGTCTGTCTGTTTGTCTGGGAACGCACCACGAGAAAACCACTGGACAGATTTTGACGAAATTTGGTATGATGATAGCTAGTTATCCGGGTCAACATATAGGATACTTTTTACTGCGGGTAAATATCTCTTCTCCGAGAAATCTATACTAACCGTTAAAACGTACCTAGGGGCGAATCCGAGCGAGAGTTTTAGACTTTTAGTGTGTACTAAAACTATATGTCGATAATACCGCGACTTTTATAGTTCATACACCAATATTATGATAGCATTAGCAAACTTGCGTTATGTGAACGCTAAGAGTGCTAATAAGTAAATGAATACTTAAAACAATGGAAATAGAACAATGCCCCAATTACACAACAATAAAAAGTTACACTAGTTTTCTTCATACCTACAGTTTAATAGCATCAGTGCATGAGTTAGATACTTATAATGTAGCATGTGATACTAATAGGTGACTATTGTAGGGTCTGGCGTCCGCTCAGGCAAATATCATGGCTTGATTCCCCATACAAACTTTCATCCCCATTTTCACCCCCTTAAGGGACGATTTCCGGGATAAAAAATATTTTATGTCTTTCTTTGGGTCTCAAATTATCTTCTTACCAAATTTCATCTAAATCGGTTTAGTAGATCCAGAGATTACCCCCTACAGCGTCACAAACTCACAATCTCACAAACTTTATCTCTTTATAATATTAGTATAGATTACCCCCCTTTAAGAGGCCTTTTGACTGATATCAAAAAAGGCGTCGCTATATTTGACTCTACATGTTTGTTTGTATGTGTTATGTTACACGACATCTCTATCAACTGTAAACCCTATAATATTCTCTTTCTAATGAATAAAGATATGGGTGTACTCATATTGATTTGGAGTTAAAACTTAAAATAGATTTTGAAGTCGATGTATGTTTATCAGTTGAAAAGTATTTGTGTAAGCTGAATTTATATGTAATTGATAAGAAAACAGACATAAAGTAAGTAAAAAGTATGGGAACAAAAAATGTAATAAACCGGTTTCATTCTTGTCTACTTTGAATTTTTATATAGATTAGAAATTTTGTAATACATTTACAATTATATTTGCAACTTTTTACTGCTTTGGTTAAAAGCCAGCCCATTTACAGTCACTGGCAAGTCTCTTCTCTACAACGGTGATTGTCAGAAACCTTAGAAAATGAATTTAATCAACATCATACTTCTTTTATCTTTTGACGAAAACCATCGTGTACACTGTATAACAATAAATAGCATACATACATATATTAAGCCACAATCTATACATATAATAAAATTGTATCTAAGTCGAATGTGTACATTAAATATTTTTTGGAAATCTAATTGAAATAGACATTATTATCGATACAGAGTCCGAATCTATAGTTTTTAGAATTTTGGTCTGTCTGTCTGTTACCGCGTCACGGAAAAATCACTGGAGGTATTTTGATGAAATTTGGTATGATGATAGCTGGTTATCCGGATCAACA